CCCCCAGCGCCGCCGCCGCCGCCACCGCCGCCAAGAGGAGGCCGGCGTAGCGCTGCTGACACCGACACAAGGCTCCTGCGTCCGACGGCCTTGGGCTGCCGACCCAGCGCAAAGAACTGCGCTCGAAGGGACAGCAAGAGGGCAGACCCCGAGCGTGGCTCAGGCCAAGCAGCAGTGCACCCCAGGGCGCACGACCACCCACTGTCTGGGAAGTCGCCCCACTCCGCGCGCGCTACCCCCTGGACGCCCTTCACTTAGCAGTGAACACACTCAAAAGTACACACACACTCTCCCGGCCGCAGATATACAACATGGCAGATTCACTGTCAGGCCCAGTGAGATCTAGGGACCCAGGGTCAGCATATTAACAGGGCAGACCTGTGTGTGTGTGTGTGTGTGTGTGTGTGTGTGTGTGTGCGCGCGTGTGTGTACGCGCGCGGCGCACGAAATGTGCAGGGACCACTACGAGGCCTGTGGACAAGGAAGGCCCCAAGTCTATCAGACATACATCAATGAGCACCAGTGCAGATGAACAAGGCAGTTTGGTATTTTGTCTCTACCAGTGGAAATATCCACATCTTCATACTTGTGTATAAATGCAGTGGCCTTAGTTTGGCCCTTCTGGGACAGTACCAGCAGAACACCAGGTGGAAGCATACATAAGAAACACATTCCTGGGGCTGGGGATTTAGCTCAGCAGCACAGCGCCTGCCTGGCAAGCGCAAGGTCATGAGTTCAATTCCTGGTACCCGAAAAAAAACACACAAAAAAACCACGTTCCTAGCCGGGCATGGTGGCACACGCCTGTAATCCCAGCACTCTGGAGGCTGAGGCAGGAGGATCGTTGCGAGTTTGAGACCAGCCTGGGCTACACAGTGAGCTGAAGGCCAGCCTGAGCTGCATATCCAGACCCTGTCTCAAAAAGACAAAAAAAAAAAAAAGAAAAGAAACATATTCCTGTAACTCCTCCCTCGTGTTGGAAAATACTCAGGAAACTGAGGAGCAAGTCCTCAGAGTTCCTCTCCCTGAAACCTTTGGGAAACAATGCAAGGCATAAATAAATTTAAAGCCAAAGAAGTCTCATCACAGAGCTAGTCATAAACAGAAGAGAGAAAAAATCGGACAAACTTTGGAGTCATGGAGATAAAGTCATAAAACAAGCAGAATCGGAAGTATTGAAAAAATAACCCCCCTGCAAGGTTCCAGGAAAGAACCCCACCCCTACTCCAGCCAGGTCACAATGGCTGGAGCTCTGAGGGGTTCAGGCCCCCTGAACCAGGAGGAGAGGAGGAAGTCCAAGGGAAGATGGTGAGTATAAGGCCAAGGGGCACAGCAAGCGCAACACTCCACTTCTTCCACTGCTGGTCGTTGCTCTTCTCTTCCAGTCTGAAACTTCCTAGTGGTCCTAGAGACACCATAAATGGTATACATAAATGTCCCTGGAGCTGATGACATCACACTGATAATAGCACCTGAGGCTTCCTACTCTTCCTCAAATCAACAGAACAACCCTGTCTTTTTTTTTTTTTTCCTCCCAGGAACAAACTATCTAGAGAAACACGATGTTCTAAGACCATTCACTACCTATTTCGTGCTTTAGATATACAAGGCCCCCACTGTACCACCTCATTCAACCTTCACCCCCTTTCTGTCTCCACTGAGTTCTCCTGTCCCACAGGATCCCAGACAGCCTAGCATTCACCTTGCCCCAAGTCCTCTCGGCTGTGGCTGCCCTCATGGCCAAGCTCCTTTTTTCCCTAACAGGCTGGCAGTCACCCCTACTTCAATCTGCCTGACTTCACCCAGCCATCACCGCCCTCCACTCCACCCAGCCTCTCCTCGAACCAGCGCTGCCGGCCCTCCGATACCACCAAGGGCCTGCTGGTGGCCCTGCTGGGTGGGGGCCTGCCAGCTGGCTTCGTAGGCCCCTTCTCCCGTATGGCTTACCAGACTTCCCACTTGCCCTCAATGGAGCTACTCATGTGTCGATGCCTCCTGCATCTCCCCATTGCTGTGCTACTCAAGCTGCGCGGTGACCCACTGCTTGGACCTCCGGATATCCGAGGCCGCGCCTGCCTTCACGCCCTGTTCAACGTACTCAGCATCGGGTGTGCCTACAGTGCCGTTCAATTGGTGCCCGTTGGCAATGCTGCCACCATTCGAAAAGGCTCTTCCACCGTGTGCTCTGCCCTCCTTGCCCTCTGCCTCAAAAGCCAAGGTCTCAGTGGCTATGACTGGTGTGGCTTGTTGGGTAGCACCCTGGGACTGATCATCATTGTGGTACCTGGACTAGGGACCCTGCAGGAGGGCACTGAAGGTCTCTACACGGCCCTGGGCTACGTGTTGGCCTTCCTGGGAGGCCTGGCCTTATCACTGGGACTTCTGGTCTACCGCTCCCTGCATTTCCCCTCTTGCCTACCAACAGTGGCCTTTCTATTTGGCGTGGTGGGGCTAATGGCCTCTGTGCCAGGACTTTTTGTGTTGCAAACCCCTGTACTACCCAAAGACCCTCTGAGTTGGAGCTGTGTAGCGGGAGTGGGGATCCTTGCCTTAGTCTCCTTTGTGTGTGTGAGCTATGCGGTCACCATGGCCCACCCTGCCCTGGTCTGTGCTGTCCTTCACTCTGAGGTAGTGGTGGCCCTGATGCTGCAATCTTGTGTGCTCTATGAGACTGTGGCCCCTTCTGACATCATGGGGGCAGGGGTTGTGCTGGGCAGCATAGCCATCATTACTACCCAGAACCTCAGCTGTGAGAGGGAAGGGCAAGTAGAGGTGTGTGACCCAACTTGAGAGTCTGGGGTTGGGGGTTGGGAGTTGGAGGGTGGGCAGGGGTAAATAGGAGATACTTGAATACAAACAAGGGAGAAACAGCACCCGGAAAAGAACTAGCGTGAGAGAGGGACACCCCTTGGACTCAAGGGTGACTTGGGTGTTGATAGAGTGGGACAACTGGAAAACTTGGAACAATCCTGGAGACTAAAGAATATGATCTAAGCAAGGTCTGGAAATCAGGGCATAACCAAGGGGTAAGGCCTCAGATCCAAGGGCCTGAAGTAGGCAGACCATGGGCCACCGGGAGAATTTCCCTTTGCAGCAGAGGGAAGAGTGCTGGGGCTGGAGTGTGCTGGCAGTGGGCAGCTTTCGGCAAAAGAGCCAAGCAGCTGCACTGGGACAGGGGAGTGTGCCGTACCCTTTTCTCCTAGGTGAAGGTTTCCCTTGTGGTTGTGCCCCCACCCCTTGGGATGGTGACGTGACACTGACATCAAACAAGAAACACTTTGAATGTGGTTGTGCACTTGGTGTCATCTCTGCTTTAGAGAGTGGAAATCCAAAGCACTCCTTTTATTACAGAATTCCTTGAGGGGTCCCCCATCTTATTCCTGAAACATGCTACAAGAAGGAGGACGTCCTACTGTTTAGATTCCCCGCCGGGTGTGGTGGCGCACACCTGTAATACCAGCACTCAGGAGGCTAAGGTAGGAGGATCCTTGCGAGTTCGAGACCAGCCAGGGCTACAAAGTGAGCTCAAGGCCAGCCTGAACTGCATAGTGAGACCCTGTCTCAAAAAGACCAAAAAAAAAAAAAAAAAAAATTCCTTGACACCCGCCTCCCTAAGTTCCCCAAGGCTTTCCTGTCCCGCCCCATGGCTAATCAGCTTTTCCCGGATTGTCGCGGTCCTGTGATCTCTCTCGGACAGTGGCCGGTCTCCTTTCGGAGCAGGCTTCTGAGCTGAAGCTTTTTTCAGTGGCTCAGGCTGGAGATCCAGGACTAAGTTTCGGTGCAGCATGTCACTAGAGGTCAGGAGATGTCCACTCATCCTTAGAGGCCAAATATCGGCTGCTTCCGGACGAACGATTAGACTCGCCATCTTGATCTGCTCATGCATATTCACCAGAGACTGCATATTCATGACCAAGGACGGCCCCACCCCGCGCCTCACCCCCACCCCCAACCCCACTTGAGTGGAACCGACCGGACCCGCCTCCATTACTGATTCGCAGAACAGACCATTTTCCGGTTGGGGGGAAATACTAATGACTTTTGCTGAAGATGAAACCGTACTCCAATGCAGAATAAAAGCGGCCTAATTTTATCCTAGATCCTTTTAACCTTCAACTTCAATACAAGACAGAGCAGCGAAAAGAAGCGGAGGATTTAGAAAAACTTCCCCTGTCATTTCATAAAGGTCGTCTAACCAGGGAGCTAGGGGAGGGATGATCAACGACTCCAGCGCGTGCCCCATGCGGGGTTACGCAGGCGGCCCCGTAGCGCAAGGGAGGGCGGGAAAGGAAGGGGCGGAGACGCAGGAGCGAATCTATAAAGGGTGTCGTTCAGCCAGTTCGCTCCTCAGAAGCGCCGAGAGCGCGACCGGGACGGCTGGAGAAGAAGGCGGCTCCCGGAAGGGGGAGAGACAAACTGCCGACCTCTGCCGTTCAGGAACCCGGTTACTTATTTATTCGTTACCCTTTTCCTTCTCCCTTCCCCTAAACCTTTTCCTTCCTCCCCCTCTTTTTGTTTCTTTTTGGGAGCCGAAAAAAAAAAAATCTCTAGAACGGGAGTGAAGGGTTCCTTTCGCTCCTTTTCGTTTCCCCGCCTCTTTCCCTCCCACCTTTCCCTCCTCTGAGTCTTTCCTCCCAACCCGGGAAGGTCCTTCCCGGTGGCCGCCCGGACTGGATCTGAGCGCCTAGGCGGAGGCGGCGCAGGCTTTTTGTAGCGAGGTTTGCGCCTGCGCAGCGCGTCAGCCTCCGCCATGCACGGGGGTGGCCCCCCTTCCGGGGACAGCGCATGCCCGCTGCGCACCATCAAGAGAGTGCAGTTCGGAGTCCTGAGTCCGGATGAGCTGGTAAGCTGCTCCGCCTCGGCCCTCCCTCCCGCTTGGGCGGGCGGGGCCGGAGGGTGGCTGCGGAAACTTGGCGCTTCTCTCTGACTGCGGGTGACCAGCAGGGAGGCCGCATTCGTAACGCCAAGGCCCTGTGGGGCTTCGGGGCTACCGGAGTTAAAATTCTGAGAGGGTTTTAAGTTTAGCACTGTGTCCAAGATAGGGGCCACGCTGAAGAGAAGGGTGACCAGTTCCATACTTTACCGACGTTCAACCAGACCAAGACGAATCCTAAAGCCAGGCGTGGTGGCACATGTCTGTAATCCCAGCATTCGGGAGGCTGAGGAGCGCTGTGAATTCGAGGCCGGTCTGGGCTACATAGTTCAAGACCAGGCTGAGCTACATAGTGAGACCATGTCTTTAAAAAAAAAAATTAAAGAAACCTCCAGAGTCTTTACAAGTCGGAATAGGAAGCCAACGCCCAGGTTTTCCCTACCCCTTCAAGTGTTGAGGCCCTGCTATGTGACACATAACGTGGGGATACACATCTGAACGGTATGGACAGCGTCCCACCGTTCTAGGGTGCTTTCTGTGGGAAGAGGCAGAGGAGACAGATTAGAAATATATGAATAAGTGAACAAGATCATTCAATAAAAGGGCGTAGTGCTATGGAAAGTCACTAAGGTGAGGCTAGTTTAGACGAAAGGTGTCAGGGCCTGGGAAGTCCTGTTTGAGGAGGTGGTGTTATTCTAACAATGAAAAGCAGCCAGTCATCTAAGACACGAGGGCATGGGTTTTCAGGCTGAGGAAGCAAGCAGCAAGGGCTGAGAGTTAGGGAGAAACCAACTTGGTGAGCTCTTAGAAGCAGAAAGGCCAGTGTGGCAGGGAATCAGTGGCTGAGAAGGCAGGTGTTACAGAAATAGGCTAGAGAAGCATGGTATACTGGAAATTATAGTAAGGAATCAAAATTAATCCCAGCACTCTATTTTATTTAGGTACTTATTTTGTCTTTTTGAGACAGGATCTCGCTATGCAGTTCAAGTTGGCCTTGAACTCACTTGGTAGCCCAGGCTGGTCTCAAACTCACATTGATCCTCCTGCCTCAGCCTCCAGAGTGCTGGTGTCACAGGTGTGCGCCACCACGCATAGCTTTTCCCAGCACACTTTATTAATTCCAGTGGTTTATTCTCAAGCCATTGGACAATTAGAGTGACATCAATTTACATTAAAAAATACTTATGCACTGCTATGGTTGCTCTGTGAAGAGCTGTTCTGGGTGGGGTGAAGATGGAAGCAAGAAAAACCAGGGAGGGGATGTTACGGATGAGCCCTTGGTGACTTGAAGGCCTTCTCTTTTTTGGTTGGGGGGGCAGGCACTAGGAATCGAACTCAGGATCTTGCGCTTGCCAGGCAGGCGCTTGTTCCGCTGAGCTATATCCCTGGCCCATTGAAGGCCTTCTCTTGTGGGCCTAATGGGGGGGGGGTCAATTGGCTAGAAAGAGTGGAGTTAAATGGTTGTGTTTGTGGAAGAAGACAGTTTTGTTAAAGAAGCCTTAGCTATGTCAGGACTCGGAACAAAGACTTGAAGGAGGGGTGGCTAATACCAGACAGAGAGCCCTTAATGGTAATAAGTTAAGTAAAGATAAATTTTATGGTGAGGCTGAAGTGAGCTAAGAATCACACTTAAAAGGAAAAGCAAGGCAGATTTTGTTACATAAACATTAGAGTCACTTCTGTTTATGAGAGGCACCATGGACAAAGCTAAAGAAAAAAAAAAAACCCAGTTATCAAAGCATTTGCAATGTGATGCATAAGGTTAGATCTGTTAATACATTTTACAAGGAACACTTAACCGCCATATCTACTAGAAAGATGGATTACTGTAGGTAAAGGGAATGAAGAGGCAGCTCACAGTAGTACAAATGGTGGATTAAAAAACATTTGGTGGGGTGCAGTGATTACATGCCTGTTTTCCCAGCTACTGAGCAAGCTGAGGTAGGAGGATCACAAGTTCAAGGCCAACCTGGGTGGAGCATGGTGAGAGAAGTGGAGATAGTCATAAGTGGCTGGATTTCAGACATATCTTGAAAGACAAAACAGATTGGCAGATGGATTAAGTGGAAATTATAAGAAAGGGAAGAACTCAAACTGAGTTTGGACTGAGCAGTTGAATAAATGGAGATGCCATTTCTTGAACCAGGCAAGAAGGGAAGGAGCATGTTAAATTGTATTTTTCTTATTGTTGTTTCTTTTTTTGAGATAAGGTCTTACTCTGTATGTAATTCAGGCTGGCTTGAACACTGTGTAGTCCTGTCACAGCGTCTGGAATGCTAAGATTATAGGCACACACCACCATTCTCAGCTAAATCACCGAAAAGTTTATTAATAGTAGTCCTCACTTGGGAGGCTGGAGCAGGAGGATTGCTGTGAATTTGAGGCTAGCCTGGGCTACAAAGTGAGTTCAAGGCCAGCCTGAACTGTACAGTAAACCCTATCTCAAGAAAGACAAAAAATAGGAGTCTTATTGAGTAACTTAGGACCTGTCCTAGTAACAAGACTGGGCTGGGGATGTAGCTCAGTGGCACAGCGCCTGCCTTGCAAGCATGAGTTCGATTCCTGGTACCACCAAAAAAAAAAAGACTGTTCCAATAGGTTAAATCCATTTTTTCCCAAGCCATTTCAGAGAACTCCAGGAGCAAAGTGAGATGTTTTAAATTTTTCAGAGTACAGGTGCCCTTTGAACTATTTAGCTCCACATGGTTCTATTTCAGCATTAGATGGCGCTAAATCCCTTTGAATGGCATCATAGCTTTGTGGTGTTGGACTTTTAGCTATTGCTAAGGATGGGCATAAATCAGATGGAGTCAGAAATCTGATTCCAAGTGTTAGGAAGGTGTGAAGTGCCTGACAGATGTCATATGAAAGAAATTGATGTTATTTCAGAAATAAAAATATTTTGAATAAAATATTTTTTTAACATATGTACATTACTTTTCCATATTACTAGTGAGTTGCTAAGACATAAATAGAAAGTTTAAAATAGTGCTCACAGCTTTACAGAGGTCATCTCTAGGGCATGGAATTATGGGAGGTTTGCTCTCTGCATGGTTTGCGGTTTATAGTGTGACTTTTTCAGGGAATAATAGATGATTCCACTTTGGGTGGGAGGGTGGATGAATGGGGAGCTCTTATGGAACAGGTAGTATTTAATGCTAGAATGTTCTCCAGAAGGCTTGGGTCGGGGTTTGTGGGTCAGAGTACGGAGGGCTGTTTGAATTGGCTTTACGATAGAACTGTTGTCTTTTATAAGATGGATTTGGATGTTTTCTGGCTGGGGAAGGAAGCAAAAAGAATTGGTGCTAACTTTTTGTATGTGTGCTGGGGATTGAACCTAGCACCTTGTACATGCTAACCACACACTCTACCACTCAGCTTTAGCTCGAGCCACTAATGTACTCTTTTAGGTAGACTGTGGGCTATATTGATGAATCAGATTGTCTTGGTCTTCAGATTCTGTATAATCTAATGAGGGATTTTATTATCTTGGGGGTGTTGAGACAGGGTCTCACTATGTAAATCTTGCTGGCTTTGAACACACTGTGTAGCCCGGGCTGACCTCAAACTCAAGGCAGTCCTCCTGCCTCAGCCTCCCAAGTGTGGGGATTACAGTGTGTGGCACCACACCCGGCTAATGCAAGATTTTCTGTATGCACCAGATAGTTACTGAGCCCCTACCATGTGCTGGTGACTGCTAGATCCTGAGGATTTAAAGATAAATAAAACATCATCCTTGCCCACAAGAATTTCAGTCCAGTGGGAGGGAAATATGTAAATATATAAACAAGTAAAGTTCTCGGAACCTTACTGGGGTGTGGGTAAGAATAGAGATAGGGCTAGCTCAGAGTGTGAAAACCTTACGAAAAAGAGATGTAAGAAGGTGATATCTCAGCTAGGTCTTACGAATGAATAGAATTTTACTCAAGAGGAGCTATGTAAAGCCAGGGGAATTTTGAGAAATCTGCTGTAGCTGGAATTGTAAATATGGGAGGTGAGAGCATTAATGTAGTACCACAGAAAAGTTGTAAAAGTGAGTTGAAGCCAAGTTGTGAGCTCTGTATATGGTTTGCTAAAAGCAGAGGAAATGGTGATGCACACTTGTAATCCTAGCATGCTGGAGGCTGAGGCAGGAAAATCATGGGTTCAAGGCCAGTCTGGGCTACATAGTGAGTTCAAAGCTAGCCTGAGCTATATAGGGAAACCCTGTCTTTAAAAAAAAAAA